AAGGGCTCAGAAGCATCAGCACTATTCTCCTGTCCAGATCAGCCATGCGTTCCAGGACATATGCATTCTTGAGGGCACTTACAATTCCACCATCATCTTACTCATACAACTAACTCTAGCCACAGTCTAGAGAAAGTAACTGGGACACAGTTAATAAAAGCTGTCCTATTTTCTCTTAATGTTTGGCCAAATTAACAAAGTCACAGTGTTTTATAAAACACAGTTTTAAAAAGACAAATATCTAATTGAAACTAATAGATACTTAAACATTTTTTAAATGGAATACTTTAGAGCAGTGGTTCTCAACCTTCCCAATGCTGCAACCCTTTAATATAATTCCTCATGTTATGGTGACCCCCCCCATGAAAGTTATTTCATTGCTACTTCATAACTGTAATGTTGTAACTGTTATGTAAATGTCTGATATGCAGGAGATCTGATATGCAACCCTTGGGAAAGGTTACTCCACCCCAAAGGGGGCACTGCTTTAATACTTACAAAGCAATGGAATACATCTATGGAATTAAACCTAAAATTAAAACATAAAAGCTGGATTTGGCTAATAGATACAATATTTTTTAAAAAGTGTCACTTGTAACACTTTAAATACACAATTTTGATGGGACAACAATCCATTAGAGCCAAGTACTCTCTCAACTGGCTAGATCGTATCTACCAAGGATATATAAACATTCTCTCTCTCTCTCTCTTAGAAGGTTTCAAGTATATAATAGTAACTGAGTCCCATTATTGTATATTCAATCTCTAGAACTTGTTTGTATTACATAACAAATTTGCACCCTTTGATCTACCTCCTATCATCTCTTCCCCCACCAAACCCTTGTAACCACCATTCTACATCTATTTCCATGAGTTTAAGTTTCACATGTCATAAAAAGTGATTTATGCAACATGTGGTTAGGGGTTTAGAGTGGATGTTGTTTTAGGAAAGATGTGGTTCTATCTATCTATCTATCTATCTATCTATCTATCTATCTATCTATCTATTTATCTACCTATGTACCTACCTACCTACACACACACACACACACACACACACACACATATATGAAATAAGGTCTCTCAGTATCCCAGGCTCGCTTAGAACTGACTGTTTCAGAGAATGACTTTGAACATGGATCCTCCTGCCTTTTTAGTTTGCAAGTGCTAAAATTACAAAACCCCCAGTTATTATGTAACATTCCTTTTGATATCCACTCATTTCACTTCGTATGTCTATAGGGTTCATTTACTGTCAAAGTAGAATTCCCTCCTTTCTAAGGCTGAATGGCATTTCATTGTAAATAATACACACCTTTTCTTTATTCACACATTGATAGAAATTGCAGGTGCTTTTCTGTTTTGAATGCTATGAATAATGCCACAATGAGCATGTAGTGCAGATGTCTCACCTCATCATTCATACTGTTACTTCTGTACATGGACCTAGAGTAAGACTGTTGGATCATAAACTAGTTTTCATTTCTTGAGGAAACTCTAGAGTGTTTTCCACAATGACTACACAAAACAAGGGTCCCATTATATACAAAGATGATGATCCCCCATCCTCACCAGCACTTGTCACGTTTCATTTAACTATGGTCATTCTAACATATGCAAGTGACATCTCATTTTGGCTTTGGTTTACATTTCCCTGATCATTAATAATGTTCAGCATGTTTTCATAGACATGCTTAGCCCTGTGTATGTCTTTTGAGAAATGTCTACTCAAAGCTTTACTAGGAGATTATACAGTACATATTCACTTACTTAAAACAGAAAATCTTATTCTAATCACAACCTTACAAAGAAGCCATAACAACTTTACACAAAGAATGTTTCTGCAAGGACATCTGTTCAGTAATTGGTTCAAGTTTGATGGGCTCCAAACCTTTTTTAACCCTTTCTGTTAAGCCACGGGTTTGTTTGCTTGTTCGTTTTTATCACAGTAATTTACAGAATCTTCCTTATTTTACTGTAAGTTTTATTTAGGATCATATATGTATACACATATACATACAAGCATGTAACAACAATCAATGAAAAAAAGAGATCATGAATTTGAAAGAGAGCAAGGCAGGTAATGTGAGAGGGTTTGGAATTAGGAAAGGGGAGAAATGATGTAATTATAACTTCAAAAACAAAATTACTTCCCCTTGACTGAACCTTTTGAGTAGTTTACTATATTCCCCTTTCAATATTCTTCCATTACCAAACCAATGCACACATCTTTGGATGGCCATCTTCTATACATTTAGGTTGGTGAGCACTAGAGACCAAGTACTTTACTTTTACCGGATGAGAGCTTGTCAACAGTACAAAACTCACATCAGGTTCAGGTTTCTCTCTCTCCTTCACTCTCTCCCCCCCCCCCCCGCCCCCACTGCTTCCTTCCTGCTCTACCTTCCCTTCCTTCCCCTCCACTCTCCTCTCCACTCCCTCTCTGTACTTCTCCCCCTCCACTCTCCCTCTCCTCTCTCCCTTCACTCTTCCCTCACTTTCATCTGTCCTTTCTATTAACAACTGTGAGAATGGGTGAACAGTATTTTAAATTGGCCATCTATATTCATTCTTTGAAAGTTTCTCACACATTTTGCTTGCTTCTATCCTCCTCTTACAAAGGAGAAATAGATTTTGTTAATTTCCTAACCTTATATAAGAAACACTGTTACTTTATGAACAGCAAAATTACATAAAGCCATTAGCCTGAAACACATATAAAGCACTCTAAAGATAGACCACAAGAACCTAGTCAGTTGGCTTCAGAATAGTGTGGTTCTTCTTAAACACAAACACTAAGCTAAGCCAGTTTCCTACTGAAAGAATTTGAAGGGAGTAGCAAAAGTCAAAACATAGAGTCTCTCCTAAAAGAAGAATAAGACAACAATAAGAGCACCACAAAAGGAAGACAATGGCATAATATCTAGTTCTGGAGGTTTCTTTCCTGAGGAAGTATACTTTGTAATGTGACTTTTTAACTATACAACTGTTACTCAAATATGGAGACATAATACAGACATTTTCAGAAATGCAAGAGACCTAAGTATTAACTACAACATACCCAGACCAGGATGGTATACGGAGACTTACTGTACTGAAAAAGAATGATGACCTGCTGGTCATGCAGGCACATGGTTCTAGTTCTAGCAATCCAGCAGAGGTGGTGATGTCAGGAAAAAGAGAATAAAAGGTGAAGGGAAGGAGCATGAGGAGGAAAATACAGGTTACAGAAAACAGTTGAGTCCACTTCAGGATTACAGTAAGGGATGTCCTGGACTGACAGCATCCAGAAAAACAAGAGGGCAATCAGTTTAGTTAAGGGCAGAAGAATGGGGGTTCCTGGAAGAAAGTATCACGGAGAACAGGTGCATTTGAAAATTATGTAGCACCATTTTGAAATAAAATGAAGCCATGATAATGCAAAGATTCAAGAATTAAAGGATTAAATATGGCAGTATAAAATAAAATGATCTAATTTTTTAAGTATAAAGAAAAGACCATGAGAAGGACCAAGGGAACAAAAATATATTAACTGATTCTCTCTGAATGACACTCATTAACAATGCACATTGTAGAATTCCCTGACAGGCAAAGAGGCTTATCACTAAACATGGTTCTAATTGAACAAGATGTAAATGCTATAAAGCTTATAACAGGTGGTGAGGCCACCAAAGCAAGGCCAGAGTGGACTGCACGATGGCACTGGCAGTTTACACGGTGGGGAGCAGGGTGAGGCTGGGGCTACTATTGAAAGATGTAAATGTGTCATCACACCAGGCTGAAAAGATAACTGCAGAAACTAAGCTTACCATGTACATGCAATTGGAATTTGAAGACTAGTAATCAAAATGGACAAGCCAAGAAAGAGAATAAATTGAGAGTAATTATAATTGAGAGTAATTATACATGGAAGTGAGGACTGGGACTGAAAGTGTCACAAAAGATAATTTAGTGTACGCTTTTTGACAGTGGTTCTCTTGTAACATGAAGAGCTGTTTTAATAGAAAGAAATTCAATGAGGAAAACAAATCAGTTCATGATTTCTAGTGAAATTTTTTTTAACTCATCTGTCCCATTAGAAAAGTGTGAGTCCTTATCTTATAGCTAGAACTACACCTTTTGAAGCTACTGTTAACTATCACTACTGAATATTAGGCCATTTCTTCACAGGATATAGTTAAGACTACAAGCGTAAACGATTTGGTAAGAGGTGAAGGAGGTACTGGAGAGGTGACAGATTTACTCTAACTGTTAATAAGTTGCAATGACAGTTGTTTATAGGTTCATTCTGTGTTGATGTCTGTGAAGAAATCAACAGGAGGAAAACTGCATGGTTTACCTTCTCTTAATCTCAAGATTTTTAGCAGCTCATGTCAGACATTACCAGGCAGAAATGTTTACCATAAGCATCTGGGACTCATCCATGTCAACTGCTTCTCTTTAAGAAGGTATTTCTTATTTTAAATATTAATCAACTTATAAAGGCTGTTTTAGGGAAGAGAAATCCCTTTGTTTCCTATTCCTATCAGCCCTGCACTTGAAGTTCCAGCCAGTTCTAGGAAATGAAAAAGTAACTCCCTCCCTAACACGCTAAATGTGTCTTAATTCCATATGTAAAGACTTCAGGATAGCACCCCCAGGGAAGTAGGCCAAGTCTCGCCTGGAACCTCAAAGCCTACTTCCAGATGTGAGCCCCAAGGTAGACAGACTACCAGACCCAGGCTTCAACCTCTTTCCAGATGACAGCCTAAAGGAAGATGAGCATAGCAAAGATCTAACTCTGATTCCAGATGTGGGCCAAAGGGCACAGAAGTAAATTGCAACATCTTTCCTACCACGTGTAATGCCTTAAGCGAGAACGGCTACTCATGCCCATCCAATAGCAATCCATATTGTCTCCAGAGAGCTAAGTCTCCAGAGATCAAAGTGTCATTGCTCTGTCACTCATCACTTTCATCTCTTTTCCATCCTGAACCCCAAGAAGAGCTGAGGTTCCTCACCTGGGTCAAGGTGCTTAGCTCTGGGCACACATTGCAGATGAGATTATTTTGAAGGTCTAGAGTCCTCAGACCAGGCAGCTTTTCTAGTGCTGAGGGCATTTTTTTCATCTTCTTCCCATTCAAAGTAATGATCTTAGTGTTATTACCACCCTTCAGTGCTGTTAGCAACAATCTCTCACTCATGATTTTTTTGAAGAGGTGACCATTATGGAGAAGAGTTCCTTATTATATATCTTCAGAGCATCTAATTGCATAATTGTTGTGTCACAAAAGCAAAACCACTCCCCATTATGATGAAGGTAGGAGGTATCACATGATTTTCTAGGCAGAGAGAGGAAACAGCCACTGCAGGTTGGGCCAGAAAGTATACATGACAGGGCTTGTGTATCTTATGTCAGACACATGGAAATTACCAAGTACTGAGATCACACCAGGACCCAGGACCAGGTTTGGGAGTCTTCCACTAGTTTGAGATGAGGAACACTAAACATCCTGGGAGGAAGTATCTAGAGGGAACTAAAACATTTCCTGACACTGAAGCCTTGGAGTTTGTAACAGCATTTTCAAAAAGAAAAGGAAAACTCATTAATGATACTTGGAGTGAGTGGGACGTCAGCTCAGTCTGAAAGCTAATAAAGGAGAAATGAATCAAACATTTATTACATTATTCCAGTACAAACTACATGTTAGTATATTCAAATAGTTCATAGTTTTCATTCATATGGAAATTGAAGCTAATAAACTAAGAAAAAAGTATTAGAAAATTCATCATTTCTCCAAGTTCTAATGAAATACAGAACCTATAAAAAATATATTTGACAGCTAGGTTAACAGGAACGAGGTTAATAACCCCATTAATCAATTGTAGCCATTTAAAACTGAAAACACCACATGGAATGAAAGCACCTGATGGGATGCAGCAGAGGGTACAGATGAAATGTTTATGCATAAAACAAAACACACATCTAACCAAGGCTTTATGGTTTAACCAACACCTACAGAAAGTGAGGAACATAGAGCAAGCTGAAGTGACCCTCAGGGAATCATTCAGCCAAACCAAGAACATGGGAAGTGCAGTGTTTGCATTTGCACTAATTAAATAAAATTAACCTTGATTCAGGAGGCTGAGTTAGCAACCAGTTGACAGAAAGTAATCATAGAGCCTCAGAGGGCATCCAGGAGAGATAAAGAGACACAGGAAGTAGTAGGGTGGGGTCTGGAGTAGCACAGCTTTTTCTGGTTTGGTGAAGCAGAAGCATGGGTCTGCCACAGATGCCATCGAGGAGAACGGGCTAGGTAGTTGCTACTCAGCCTCTGAGCTCAGAGGTTTTCATCCCAGCCTTTGAATCTTGAATCTTATTCACAATTAGAACCATAGAGATTTAGTTACAGCTATCTTTAGTGGCAGCAACAGGGCTAGTGGATGTGGAAGCAGAATTCTCACAAGGCTGTGGTCTTAGGCTAGGTCACTGCTAGAAAAGCAGGCCAGTAACTGAGAAGTAGCAAATACTGGCTGAGATAGCAATATATTAAGGCACAGCAACTGTGCTGATGTTAAAACAATATTTGGTGCTCCAACTTGTGGAATGACCACATGGACAGAGGAGTCACACCAGCCAGCTCTGCCACAGTTGCCTTGGGTCTTTCCGTGCAAGCACCCACAGCAGGCAGCTGCCACTTCCCAGGACTCCAGAAAGCAGAAATTGTAGGAGGGACTTGAGTTTACCTCAGACAAACTACTGAGAAGTCAGTGGATTCAGTGAGATACCTGGGAAGGCCTTTAGCAGAGAGTTGAATAATATTAAAAAGAAAAATCTTTCCCACATTAAGAAAGAGGAACATCACAAGACAGAGTTCTAGGATCCTGTATAGTGCTACAACAGATGGTTTGAAAATGGAAAATTTAACTGAGTGGATAAATTACTTTGCTGGGATTGACAGAATGTCAATTGTATCAGTTTAATAATTAATATTTTCTCCTTTAAAAAGTGGCTTGATAACTGTGCTAAATATGATAATTTGACTGAAAAGATACAAGCTTTAGGAAGACTTACTAATGAAAATAAGAAAAATACTCAGACACAGACAGAGAAATGTAGAGCAGAACCTACCATACCATTGCATTATGAAACTGAAGAAAAAAGGCCAAAGGTCACTAGAACACTAACTTTGATTTATCCAGCTACCATACAAGAATAACCACTAGATGATAGGCTCCCTCAAGGCTATGCAGAAGTTAATTAGAATCCTGTAGAAATGTTAGATTTGAAGAGATTTAAGGAAGCACTCATTTCATATGGTATGCATTCACCCTTTGTGAAACAGATATTAAATTTATGGGCCATCTGGAGCAGAATTATCCCACAAGACTGAGATTTAGTTGAACCAGTATTAGAAGCTGGTCCTCAGTTACAGCGGAGAACATGGAGGAGAGAGGAAGCTAGAATCCTAGAACAACGAGGTAGAGCTACAGGTCATGAGATATCCCAAGAACAGCTTCTCACTGAGGGCCAATATGGTGATTTGCAAACACAATCTATATTTGATGATAACACCTTGAGTCTATCTTGTATAGTCACTTCAAATGCTTGGGACAGGGTTGAAGAATCAGGAAAGAGAACTGAGTCATTTACTAAAACTATGGAAGGCCAAAAAACAGCCTTTTTAAAATTTTTTTATGAAGATTGACCTCAGCTGTAACTATAATAATATCAGATTTAGATGTTAGACAAATATTAATTGAAACTTTGGCTCTTAAAAATGCTAATTCAGAATGTAAAAGGGTGATCAGGCCATTAAGGGGAAGATCAGTACCCACAGACGAACAGATCTGAAATACAGCTTATACTGGGTCTCACTCTTATAATGGTACTTGGATGGGAGAAGTGATTTCTAAAAATTGTTAAAAAAAAAAAAAGGCAGGTATTTTAATTGTGGTAAACTACATCATCTGAGAAGTGATTGTAGACAAGGTGCTTCTAGAAACAATGTTTTTTTCTAGGGGTGATCCTAACAGAAATCCACAGCCTTCTGGAGCATGCATAAGATGTGAAAAACACCAGCATTGGACTAATGAATGCAGAACAACAGGGACAGGCAAGGTAACCCTTTGCCATTAGGGGGGCTCTCACGGGCCTCAATATCAAATTTGGTTCAATCATTACCAATCAGCATTGGGGAAATCCCTCCACAGAGAAATTAAAAGACTTAAGGCATGTTGTTCAAAACATACTGCTTTGGATGACAGAACAGCATCAGTAGATAAAATTTTCAGGAGAAACCATAAAACAAGTATTTTAGCAAACATCTATAAATGATCAAAGACCAAAGCTAAAATTACAAATAAATGGCATTGGAATTGAGCATTTTGTAGACACAGGTGCAGATATAACAATTATTTCCCCCAAATCCTGGCATTTGACTTCAAGAGGTAAATGTTCAGCTTCCAGAGATTGGTAAAACAAAGTGCAAGATGGGTCAAGTGTATAGAGCCAGAAGGACAGATAGAAAAATTAAAACCATATGCACCTAACTTAGCAATAAATTTATGGGGACATGAATATTTGAAACAATGGAATACACATATTAACATTCCTCCAATCTCAGAAACAAACTGTAAATTAACATATGCTTCTGAGAAAAATATTAAAAACCATTATCAAGGGCTTTCACTGATTATTAACATTGTACATAAGCAGGGTATAACAGCTGCTGATCTTTCAAAGGTATCAACAGCCCAGCCTTTAAAATGGTTAAATGAAAAAATTGTATGGATGGAACAATGACCTTTGACATCAGAAAAATTATGGGCATGAGAACAGCTGGTACAGAAGAAGTTAAATGCTCATCATATTAAAGAACTGACCAGTCCTTGGAATTCCAAACTTGTTATTAAAAAGAAATCTGGAAAATGTTAACAGATCTAAGAACCACAAATAATGTGATTCAGTCAACAGGCTCTTTACAACCTAAAATTCAATTGTCTTTTTTATTATAAGGAATGGTCTGTTATATTAATTGATTTAGAAGACAACTTTTTCACTATACCTTTAAAAGAACAGGATACAGAAAAAATTTGCTTCCAGAGTGCCAACTTATAATTCCCAGCCTGTTAAAAAGTATCATTAAAAAGTCCTTCCACAAGGAATGTTAAATAGCCCAACCTAATGTCAATATTTTATACAACAGCCATTAGAACTGATTCATAAACAGTTTCCTCAATCTACAATTTACCATAATATGGATGATGTCTTATTGGCTGATTCAGCCACAGATACTTTAGAAAAAGTATTCAATGAGGTAAGGAGAATTTTGTCTTAGGATTACAAATTGCTCCTGAAAAATACAAAGAGAAGATTCTATGGACCACAATTGAATTAAAAACTCAAGAACTAAGAAATTTATTTCAATCCTTACAAGATGATAGGGACTTAAATAGTCCAAGAAAACTATCAGCTAAGGCTGAGAGAGGATTGACTCTGGTAGTAAAGAAATTACGGGATGTACATGGAGATCACTTAGATCCAGAGCTTGATTGTATTCTGGATATGTTACCTTCTACCCATTCTCCTACAGGAATTCTTATGCAGAGAGAAGATAATATATTAGAACAGGTATTTTTACCAAAAAAAAAATGAGTAAAAAATTTAAAACCTATGTAGAAAGAGTTTCTGAATTGATTCTGAGAGGAAAATTGTGGCTTTGTAAATTAGCAGGAATAGATCCAGCAGAAATTGTGGCACCTTTTACTAATGCTGAAATTGCATCATTATGGACAGAAAATGAACACTGGCAAAGATCTTTCAGTAATTTCCTGGGAGAGATTAGAAAGAAATATCCCAAAAGCAAGAGACTTCAGTTTATAAAAAGAACTAATTGGATTCTACCTTATACAACAAAGGCAACACCACCAATTTCTGGAGTCCTACATTCTATACTGATACAAATAAATCAGGAAAGGCAGGTTATAAGTCAGGAAAATTGCTGGGCAGTGGTGGTGTACGCATTTAATTCCAGCATTCAGGAGGCAGAGCCAGGTGGATATCTGTGAGTTCGAGGCCAGCCTGGTCTACAGAGCAAGATCCAGGACAGGCACCAAAACTACACAGAGAAACCCTGTCTTGAAAAAAAAACTGCTGAATTTATTCCAGATAATTCAAAAATAACTTTATTATTTATTCAACTACAACAAGTAATCAGAATTAGAAATC